GTCTTCTCATTTTTCCCCTCCCCCATCCCCCACCGTCTAACATGGCGGTCTAAAAAGGCGGTCGCAAGGTTGTAACGCTAACTCGCCCCAATAAGACGCTTGCACTGCAGGCTAACAGCTACCCAAAAGTAACAGCTAGTGAAAGTGGCGGCCCGAAATATCTGAAAGTAACTGGGACCATTGCTTTCGGAATTCTACAGTACATTTTAAATTGTTCCTCTCTTAGCCACTTATTCCATTTTACTTAAATATCGTACTTCAATCAGAGCAGGGAGCAGGGTCTGGGATCACCAACCGAAAACCAAAAAAGCTGTAGAAATAGAATAGCGGATCTACACATAAGCCAAACTGGTCTCTCACCTGTGTTGTTTGTGAGCATCTATCGCCAGAATAGGTAGATTGGTATACACTCTGCCCAATGCATTGTACAGTGGAGCCAGTTTAGCACAAAATGGGCAGTACTGTGTGAAGAACAAGACAACAGCGCAGGAATCGGTGTTGTTGTCTGTTGTCGTGTTAATCAATTTTAGTAGCTGCTCTGAATTGACGATAACAACTTTCTGTTGCAAGGTTTCGTTGCTCTGTGAGTTGTTCCTTCCCTTACAGAACCATTTTGGCAAGCCAGAATTTGCACTTGTCGAGTTCACGGTTTCATCGTTAAGCTTATTTTTCGTGGAATTTTCGACTTGAGAAGCATTGGAAACTGTTCCATTTAGATCTAAAATACCCGTTTCATTTAGTGTTGCGTTAGCATTAGAAACTTCCAAGATAGTGTCATTAACTTCTGCTGAGACATTTTCCTCTTCGACTGCATCTGAAACTATGAAATAAGATTTATACACAATTTTAATTGTGAGTAAAATGATATATAAAACTCATTTACGACATCACAATCTTGACTAGTTAACCTGCTACCTTTTAGATGATCAGTCTCTGATAAATTTTCAGTTTCTTCGGCAAAGGAATGCACACAAATGACAACTAAAATACAATATAACCAGACAACCTTC